AGCCCGAGAATCGACGGCCTCAGCAGAAGTGGGAGGTACACAGACAGCTGCATCTACGCGAGGAGCCTCTGGCTCCATTCTGAAGGAGGGAAATGGAATTGCTGGCGTTTTGCTGCTCCTGCAGAAGCTGCTCCTTCAGTATCGGTGGCTGCCACACACACAGCTGCTGGAGCTGCTGCAGGAGCAGCTACCACTAGTGCTAGACTGTATCGAGGATCCGCAGCTGCGCTGTACGTGCACATTCGTGCAGCTGCAGCTGCTGGCAGAGTCCCGTGTGGGAGCGCTGCATGCACGGCAGTTTGACGCTCTTGTGCTGCAGCTGCTGGCTCAGCTGCAGCTGTTTGCTACGCGCGACAGCAGCTGCAGCAGCGGCAGTTTGGCGTGCTGCTGGAGAGGAGCATTGGGAGAGCCTCCTGCACTGCTTCCTGCCGCTGCAGCGCTGTACTTGCTGCTCTGCGACCGGCTCGAGGAGGCGCATCACCCCCAGCCATGGCAGGAAGAGAGTAAGGAAGAGAAGGAGGCGCCACAGTGGCAACAGCGGGCAAACGTATTACTGCACCGACTGCTGTTGCTCTCCCAGAAGAGCCGTCCAAGAGGCGCAGCAGGTACGCTCTAACTGCGAAAACTGTGCATGCCCCCCAATACCCCCCTCTCTCCCCTCTCCCCAGTCCGAAGCGGCGCTGCCTTCGAGAGCAAGCTGCAGCCCCTCTCGCGCGCGTTGACGGCTTTGATACCTCAAGGTTTTAATTTCCGATTTGCAATTCAAGGCCGTTGGTGACTTGCAGACAAGGAGTGCGCGCAGTGGGGGCTGGCGCTGTTGCAGCAGTCTCAAATCCCTTCGTGGGCAGTGCTCTCGGCAAGGGCAGCTGCCGAAGCAGCAGCAACAGCAACAACAGACGCAAGCCCCTTACAGCAGTTCCTCGGCGGGGTGAATAAGAAGGAGCAGGCGTCCACAGCGACAGCGCACGAAGAGCGGCACTCGTTGGATGGCGAGCATCTGAAGCTCATCGTGAGACCTACTCTAGACGGCCATTGATACTCGCCTCCTGTCTGTGCCCGAATGCGAAACCTCCCCAACTATCAAACGGCTGCTTCCCTTCATAAAGTTTCGCGGCGCTGCTGCGTGTCATTTTTTAGGTCTCTGCGCTGCGTCTCCCCGATGCGAGGGGCTTTGCTACTCAAGCACTTGGTTAGCCGAATCCCAAGATCCTCGCCCTCATGTGCATAGTGCTGCGCTCTGGCTCCCTTCCAGTGCAGACTTTGTGATCGACGGCATGTGCTTAGGGTTTGGCTTGTCTGTACCCCTGGCGCTAAAGGACTGCGGCATTTGCATCGAAGTTGCCACCGAGCGGTAAAAATCCCACCTCCCAGGAGTGCACAGAACCCTCTCTCGCTGGAAAACCTTTTGGCGATCTCTGACGTAGGGAAACGAGGTCTAAGGTGTGTGAATCGCTAGGGCTTCAGGGCATACAACTGCTATGGGTGCATGCTGCGCGCTTTCGTCAGGGATGTTTTTGTGAACGCGCCGACACGACTCGTGGCGAAGATGGCGTTGTCAGTCGAAATCCGAATTCTTAACTAAATCTAGCCTAGCGGTGCTTTAGAGAAAACGCTCGCTCACCTCGCATGCCGCTGTGCCCCCTGCTGCCGTGGCTGCGCAGGCGCTTGAGATTACTGCAGCAGTTTGGCCAGCGGCCGTTGCTGTTGTTGCCGCCCTTCTTTGCTCCAGGAGACAGCAGCAGCAGAAATCGGCTGGCAGCCGAACTCCGGCAGCAAGCAGCACTAACCGCATTTGCCGCTGTGGGGGGAGATGCGGCGTTTTTGCTGCGGAGAGCCTCTTGGGGGCCCCTCTTGCAGCAGCAGTTTCCGTCTCTGTACGCTGCGGCAGCACTGCAGCAGCAGAAGCAGGCGCACGCCCAGCCAGCCGACTCATTCAAGGAGTGACGACGGCTTCATCTGGCGATGTTGCTTCACAGCCTTTCGGGCAGCTTTAGCAGCGCGGACTCTCTGTTGCTGCTGCGCTGTTGGCTGCCGCTGTTGCCGCTGCAGGAGCTGCGCATATAAAGCAGACATAGCACGACGAGCAGGAGGCATCCTGCGTTGAAGACAGGCTGCTGTGGCAGCACTTTTCGACGTAGTGGCAGGAGCACTGGCACCTACCTGGAAGGCTTGTTGCTCTGCTTGCTGCTCCTGCTGCCGTTTCTGCTGCAGCAGCAGCAGCAAGCGACGTCGGGCCTCTTTTCGGTTGTCTGAAAGGAGTCTGAGCAGACCACATGCAGCAAGCAAAGCAGTGAGATTGCAGCGTGAGGAGCAGCTGAAGAGAGAGAGGGCGGGAGAAAGCGAGTTCGCCTGCTGCGGGAAATGCGTTAGTGCCTCATGAGTAGCAGCACAGGCAGTTGTCGCGTGAGCAGCTGAACTCGTCCCACCTGTAGGAGTGGCATCTGATGTAGATCATACGCTTGCTGCAACGCAGGCAGCAGCAATTGCTGCTGCTGTTGGTTTTGCTTCCGCCGGGGCCGCTTCCCCGAACACGAGACTCCTCAACGTCTGCAGCGGAGAGGCCAAAAGCCTGAAGCTGCTGCGCCCATGTGGAGGCGTTCAACAGATCTGCTGCTGTTGCTGCTACTGCTGCTTTTGCTGCTGTTGCTGCTGGTATTGGGGTTGTCGTCGCTGCAGTACGTATAGGCGGGGTGCGAATGCTGCCATGCCTCCTTAGAGCCCTTGGTGCTGCTGTGTCAGTTGCTCTTAATCCCCCAGTTGGTGCAGTCCTGCGGTTTGCACGGCATGCAAAACAGACACTGGAAGCTGCGATGGCAGGGAGAGGCGCCAACAGCAGCAACTGCAGCACGAAATGCCGCAACGGCTTTGGCCGTTGCTTCATGCCGAGTGCTGCATCGAGCTGCGAGGCATGTCTTGGTGGCTGGCTCTTCTCGAGCAGAGACACTGCGCACTGAAGCCGGCACCAAGTTCGTCTTGGTGCCGGCTTCAGTGCGCAGTTGCTGCTGCTGCCGGTGCTCTTGCTGCTCAGCGTATTGCCCAGATTGGCAGCTTAAAGAATTTTGGCCTGTCGCTCAAAGTGTTGGTATTTTACAAACAACAAGGCTTGCTTTATGGACGTTCCGACTCTGGGGGCCCCTCTGGGGGCCCCTGCTGCTCTGCGGGAGGGCCCCCATGGGGCTGCCGCGCATTCCTGCAGCCTTGTTGGCGGCAATTCACCACCAATTCTCGAGCATATGCGAGTCTCTGTGTGTAAATAGCATACCCGAAGCCTGTGAAAAAACAGGTGTAAAAGGATGCCGAGAGGCGGATGCATATGAATGTCGGTGTGTCTGGGGAGGCACTCAAACTTGAAGGGTCACACATGGGCTAGAGGGGTCCTATGGCACCGCTGCGCTACGGCAGCAGCACCGGCAACGCTGATGCAGCAGTCGATTTAAATCACAGCGAGAACAGCGGCAGCAGCAGCGGAAGCAGTAGCAGGTTCAACAGCAAGGCGAGCAGGAGCAGTGCCCTCCATTGTGTAGAGGGCGAAGAGGCTGCTTCTTCCCAAAATGGCGACAGCAGAGTACACCCGCGGTCGCCGCTTCCTAGCAGTGCGCGTGGAATATTTATGAGCAGCAGCGACAACAGCAGCACAAGCAGTACCACGAGCACAAGGGTCCTGTGGCTTGCCACTGCACTGATCGCCTTGGGGGCAGTAAATGAAGTTAGCGGGAGAATCCGATCAGTGCCTCTCGGCCGTTTCGATGCCTTGGTTTCTCTTGCGAACTCGGCTGTGCATTCTGCCGTCTACTCACTCGCTGTCGTAAGACTTATGCAAGGGCTCCCATGGCTCTCTGCCTTCCCCTGCCTTGCCGCGCTGCCTTTGAGTGCCCCTTCAGTCTGCGTTTTCGGCATTGAAACCGCTGCATGCGCGTGCGTGATTTCTTAACCCGATGCTTCCGCATCTTGAACCCTCCCGAAGGCGCATATATATATATATATATATATATATATATATATATATATATATATATATATATATATATATATGTATGCGTGTGTGACTACGCCTCCGAGATGCAGGGTGTGCTGTTGACGCGAGCGTCGATTCCCAAAGAAAATATCGCCTTTCTCTGCCGCAAATCTTCTCTGATGCTGCTGCTCACCGTCGGCCTCTTAGATTCGGCAGGTCCTACCATGGGGTTCGTCGCCCAACCTTATGTGCCAGGTAAGCTGCTTGCCTTCCACCGCTTTTTGCCGCTGCTGCTGTTTTCGTCTCTGCGTTTCAGTGACGGCTCCTTCCTTCCGCTGCTGTTGTCAGAGTGGCACGTTGTAGCGCCTCGTTGGAAGGCGGGGAGAGAACGGGGTAAGAAGGGGGGATGTAGGGGGTAAGGGGGCAGGCTTCCACGAGGATCCGCATGCACGGCCTGTGTAACGAACTCTACTAGCCTCTTTTGGTGGCTGTCTGTCTGTCTCTCTGTCTCTTTGTAGGTCCTGTCTACTCGTTGATGACGCAGACCATCGTTCCCTTTTCATGCCTTTGCTCGCTGCTGCTGCTGCGACGGCGCTACTCGCTGCTGCATGTGGGAGCCCTCGCACTGACTTTCTCCGGCTTTCTCGTTGCTTGGTATAGCCTCTATTCGCACCTGCCTCCCTCAGAAAATGTTTCCGACGTTGCTGCTGTTGCGGCCAGCGCTGCAGACGGGCGTGCCGGTAATATTTTCCTAGCGAATTTCGGTGACTTTCCTGCTGGAAGCAATAGTGGCAATAATGTTGGTGGTAGTGGAATTGGTGGGGGTGATATTGGTGCTGCTGCTGCACCAATATCGCAGCAGCAGCTGCAGCAGCTGCAGCAGCAACAGCAGCAGCAGCTGCAGCAACAGCAGCAGCAACAGCATCACCCCCCCTCCCACTCCGCCATCGTGCCGCTTCCCTTGGACGTTCCTACCGCGTTCAGCCCCCTCAGCTGCAGCAGTACCACCACTCAGAGCAGCGTGGAAGGCAGCAACCTCACCTGGATGGCGGCCTTAGTGGCGCTCTCAACAGCGCCCACTGCGCTGTCGTTCGCTCTGAAGGAGCTGCTGCTGCGTTCTTACGAGAAGGAGCAGCAGCTGGACGCCCGTGAGGACGGCAGTCGGCTGCTTCCGCTGCTGGAGCATAGGCAGCACAGCGCGCACTCATCACAAGAACAGACGCATTCTCCAGAGCGCATCAACACTGCCGACGCTGTAAACGTTCCACAGCCGCTGCAGCCGCTAGACTTCCAAGAAGGCCGCAACGGCACTTCAGGCAGCAGCCCGGGTGCAGCAGAAGCAGACAGCAGCAGGCTCAATCTGCTGCTCGTGTGCTGCTGTGCGACGCTGAGTGCTCTCTTTTGGTGCTGTGCGCTGACTCCCCTCAACGCGTATCTCATCAAGGTGAGAGCCGCAGCCTGCAGCAGCCCCCGTCGCCTTTCTCGTCTGCTGCTGCTGCTGCATGACGGCTGCCACCGCTGCGCCCCCTGCTGCAGCTGCAGGAGAATGCAAACAGGGACCGTGGCTTGCCTCGGCGAGACGGTTAACACTGGCAGGCTCTTGAATGCCGATTTCTCACGCGCTTGTGGGGTCACTTCGCGCTGGCGCCGCAGGAAGCGCGTGCGTGTGTCTCTTTCGCATCCCTCTCACTCGCTCTCCTTCACAAGGGGTTCCGCAGGGGGAGCCTTCCTGCGCAACGCCTTTCGCTGATTCAGCCTGCTTGCCGCGGGTGGGTATGCGGCCGTCCATCTCCATGCCACACACGGCGCTCTGCGACTTGCAGGAACCTGGAGAAAGCATCTCGAACTTCCTTTGGGATGCCTTTCGCTGCTTCTGCGGAAATTCGTCGTACTCGCCTCCTGGATCGCCGCTTGCACCCCCGCAGTGTCGATACGCCGCCGTGGCCTACGGTGCGTACGCCACGGCAAATCTCTTCTTCAATATATCTGTGTTAGGTGAGTCTCCCAAGGAGCCTTTGGAGTCTCCACGAGGCGGCACTCTTTCTGCCCCACGGGGCTCTATTTTGGAGCGCACGATGTGAACTTTGTGAAGTAGTCGCTTCTAAATAGTCAGCATGGTTTTTGCTACCCTTGCACTGCGTGGCATCCCCCAAGGGTCCCAAAGAAACGCCTCCTCGGCCACGCCGCGAAGAGTGCCGGAGCGTCTCGCTCGTGCAGTTGCGTGAGCTCTCTCTTGTGCATGCGCATTCTTACAGCTGTCGTTCTAGAAGGCTCCTCTCTCCTCAGCTTCATGGCCATGAAGGCCATACTGCCCGTCTCCCTGCTGCTCTACGCGGCGAACAAGTGGCCGCTGCTGCCCGAAACAGATTCCCATCTTAGTTCCCCAATTTTGGTATGCAGGCGGCACTGCAAACTCCCGTCAATAATAGGCTTTCTCTGCCCTGTGAAATCCACCCAGTGCAGTGCCCTCACGCTTGCAATTCGTTTACGGCTTAAGAGCTATGTGTGCGTGTTCGCATGGTGCAGCTTTCCCTCTTTCTCGTGCTCACTGGCGTTATCTCCTTCCACTTTGAGTCACTGAGGTGCACATACGCCTATCGAGACTCTAATCCGCCGTGCTGTTGGCCACTATCTCTAAGGCGTTAGTGAGGCGTTAGTTGTTGAACTGGAAAGCAGGCTACCCGAACAAGGGGCTATGAAGTGCTAGCTCGCTAACCAGTCCGCCTGGCACGAGCAAGCAAGAATCCATGTAGCGACGCATGCTGACTTGCTAAAAGCTCTCAGGATTCTACCTGTACACCAGCACGCGCTTGGTGTGCCAATGCCCAAGTGGCAAAAGTAGTTGGCCTCCTCCAAGCAGCCACTCCCCTTTTTGCGCCTAAAGATGGGGGCAGCCTTCAGGGCTGCTTGCCTCGTTTGTCAACGTTGCACCATTCGAATACTGCACGCAGAGTTATATATTGGCTATACAAATATCTTTCAAAGAGAATCTACCGGTGCATGCTCATATCGAGAATGTATACAGGTTGCGTATATGTGCACACGGCCGTCACAGTGTTCACGTAAAAATGCATATAGGCCTGGTTTTCTGGCTTCGAACGACGCGGAATCCATGTTCCAGGATATTCAAATACAAACGTATATTCTCTTAAAGAGTGTGTGTCTGTACCTAAGTCTACACGTAAATGGCTTCTGGGCACGGGTTTCAGCAGACGTCGCGTGAGCCTACGCGTGAGTGTTTTTACCACTCCACATTGAAATGTGAGCACATGTCGAGACTCATAATAGCCATTGGTCTGTAGACAGCAATAATATGTGTGTGAATACTTTTCGGACGTCGTTACTTTGGCGGGGCCTGTGCTCCCTTCGAGCATCTTCGTGCGAGGCGATTTGAGACAAACCCAACCTGCCCGCCACGTTTTGGAATGAATGACCCCCTGCACTCTCTTTAAAGCCCTTAATAGAGTGACGCAGCGATCTGTACTGCTACCACAGAGGTATAGGCAGGCATGCACACCCTAACGGCAGCGGTGGACACGCGAGCACATTCCAGAGCAGACGATCAAAGAAGACGCATGGCACGCACACCCAACATGTGGAAGTACATGCTGAGTACTTAATCCAACTGCAATGGCGAACCCCATAGGGCCATCTCCTTGTACTCGTGAGCCACTGCCTAATCTCCCTCGCCCAGGTTTCCGCTACGCTCGGAGATTCGTCCATCCGCATCCGTGCTTATATGCATGCAGATGGGCAATCGCGCTCAAGGCCAAGGCGTGTACAAGTAAATGCATTCACGCAAGGTTTAGGCAGAAAAGACCAATACTCCATACTTTACGATTGTTGGTGGATCTGTGTGCCGTCCCTCGGTAGCTCAATGGGGGCGTGCAAAACAACAGCAAAGGCGATATCCCCGCAACCGAAAACACGAAAGAAGGGCTCTGCTCATGATGAAGCGCATCCATCGCACAGGGCCTTTCGTCCCCAGTCGAACTATCTGGGAGCCGTTTTTGCTCTCGCAATACTGGAGAACGCGTTGTGTAATTGCTGGATGGACTGCACTTACGGACAAGTGAACACGTCTGATAGGCCCATAAATCTACAATAATGAATTTCCGCACAAACTCACAATGCGACCTGGCACGCATGCAAGATATGCAAACGCCTTGTAATCTTCCCTCGTGCATCAATGAGAAATTGTGAATGTATGAACGCAAGTGGACTGCGAAGGGAAGGGAGAACAAAGGCTATACAGGAATCCTCCGTTGCCGTGCAGCACCTCGCAGCAGCAATAAAAAGAACTAAAAAAGGGCAGTGCGCACGCCATGGACGCACTTGAAAATGATTCCATACAAGAACTGGCATACAACATGACTTCTTACAGTCTAGCACCACGAAATCAGACAGGACACCGGTGCAAACGGCCGCATAATGGGCAAAATGAGGCCATAAGGCGACATATATGTATATACATATATATACATATATTTTCTTCATGGCCAATAGTAAAATTACCTGAAAATCGGCACCAGTGCTGTGGGCTGCTGCCGGCGTGCTGCCCTTTATATGCAGCCTACGTGTTGGGGGAACTTGAGGATGCACTAGCATCGGCAGCACTGGCAGGAGCTGCAGAAGTCCTCTTGCTAGTGGCCGCTGCTGCTAGAGCACTATCCGCCGTTTCCATTCCTTGCAGCCCTCCTGTTCCCAGTGCTTCGTACGGAGGGCGATGCGTTCCTGACGCAAGCGACCGTGGGAAAAAGGCGAAGCCTAAGCGCTTGACCACGAAGACAGCCGACAGAAAGAGCAGCACACCTGCGGAGAAAGGAGCAAAACTGCCCATACCGAAGACACATGCCTATACACCCCAGCACCCAGAAAACGAGGGCGGCTCGGCTGTTGTCTGAGCTTGCATCCAAACACGTCTGCGTGATGTTGATACAAGGACTCCTAAGTAGGGAGCAATCGGTGCTAGGGTTCTACAGCGTATCTCTAAACAATGTGCAGCCTCAACAGCCATGAAAACGAAGCGACATCCTACGCGCCTACCAAAAACGGAGCCGAGGCATAAAATGATCAGCCCGGAGACGTCTTCGTCATTCCAAGAGTCAGTCCAAGCGTCCCAGATTCTCTCATCGCTCGCCTTCGCCTCACCTCCTGCGGATTCGCTCCCCTCCGTTCCAGGAGAAGGCACGGGAATATAGCCCTTCACACTGCTAACCCGTCGCACCGTTGCTGCAAGCTCGTGAGGCGTCAGCTGCTGCCACTGCTGCAGTGACTCCTGCTGCTGCTGCTCTCTCAGCTGATGCAGCACACGGGATCGCTGTTCCGGAGACTCCGAATACACCCCGTAGGAAAGGCGAGACGCGCTTGCTCGCGGTGCACCTGGTGAACCTCGGTAAATAGTAGCCCCCAACAGCTCCTCATCAGCACCAATGCTGAAGCTGCTGTTGCTGCTTTTGCTGCTACTGTTGCTGCTGTTGCTGCTGTTGCTGCTGCTGTTGCTGCTGCTGGTGCTGCTACTGTTGCTGCTGGTGCTGCTCTTGCTGCTGTTGCTGCCATCGTCTGGGGGCTGCAGCGAGGCCGTGACAATGGTGCCTGAAGAAAGACAGCACCAACAGCAACAGAAACAACAACAACGATAACGACGCCCACGCGCGCTCCAACACACCCCAGCCCAAGACCACCAACACCTTCTGCATTATTATCAACACCCCCTATGCGACCGCAATGCCAACAGAAACACCAACAGCAGCAGTACCAGGGCCGCATCCACAAGTTTTGGTGGAAAGCACCGCACGAAACGACCAGCCGTCACTTTGCCGCCGCAACAACAAGTCGGGGCAGCATCCCTCCGCGAACTTGGTAAGTAAGCGCACACGCAAGCACAAAAAAACACGCAGAAAAGAAACACGCATCCGCACGTACGCTAGCAAAAATACGCAAGAGAAGGCTCAAGGCGGCGGGGGAGGCCTAGCATCCACGTGCGGCAGGAGGTAGGTAAGAGTATGTATATGATGCGGGAGTAAGTCAGTGAGTGCGCATGGACTGCTCTCGGGCTGAAAGAGCAGAGGGGTGGGGAGAAGGGGAAGGGAGGGAGAAGAAGGGGGAGAAGACGGGCTGTGTGCGCCTTGTCTGACTTGCAGCAGCAAGGCGAGATCCGTTTCAGCATCGACTGAGAAATTTCCGACCATAGACGTCACTCCAAAGTGCGGTTTGACCCAGAAGGAGGTAATTTCAGCTATGCCCGTGATGACAGCACCCCCCCCAACGGCAGTTTCACTGGAAGAAGACTTCACGGTGTCTGGGGAGGCGGCTGGACGGCATGCTGACGAGCGCAATTTGCGACTGGGGAGGCCTAGAGCAGCAGGAGGGCAATCTGGCAATTCCAAATTCGCCGAAAAGGCGCACAGAAAGCTGCGCGTGTAGGGAAAGAAGAGAGGAATTCTTGCAGCGGTGGCTGCCCCCGAATAAGCGTCCACGGATGGCGCTGCTTCTTCGGAGAAGTCTTGCAAGCGAGCACCCTGCAGGAGAAACTCGTTGAAGTCTTCATTTACATGAACAGAGAGCAGCGGGGAGTGCTGACTGCCGGCTAGCGGTGCAGCTGCGGAGATTCCCATGCCAGCTTGCACCGCTGCAGAAGCAGCAGAGGCTGCTTCTGCAGCAGTGCGAGCCGCTGCAACCGCCGAGGCAGCACTGCCAGAGGGGATCCACGTCAGCACTGCCTGCTGCCCAAGGAGCCGCGAAACAGGCGTCTTCAGCTGTACGCGCACTTCCCCGTCGGTCTGCAACAGCACCCGGTTCAGCTGCCGTCGCTGCTGCTGCTGCTTCTTGGCGCTGCTTGAGCCCGTCGAAACCAGCGCCACATGCACCAATCCGCTGGTGTCGTTGCTGCTGCTGTAGTGGGGATCATGTCTTCGAACTTGAACGAGCAGCAGGCCGTCAGGAAGACGCGAACGCTTGGGCTTAATGCGCAGCAGCACGTCTCCTGCGCCCTTCGTGGCTCCTGGAAGAGGCAGCCGATCCGGCTGTTGCTGCTGCAGCCGCATGTGCCGCAGCTGCATAACGGGCATCAGCAGACGCGTGTACGGGTTCAAAAAGACAGGATCGTCATTCAGAAATCCCGAAAAGGTCAGAGACACTGTGCATGGCTCTGTCACAGGCAAAATAACCTTCTTGGCCACGCCGCCACGTGGGGAAGCTGTCGCTTCCCTCGCAGGAAGAGACAGAGAGACAGTAGCAAACGCCTCGATCGAATCCTCTCGAATTTGAATGGGGATCCCCACGGGAGTAGGGTTGCCGGGAAAGCTCGGGGAACGCGCGGGGAAGATCCTGCACAAAGCACAGGGTGTGAGGCTTCAGGGAAGGCGTGCAGAGTAAGTGGTACAACCCCATCAGAAAAAAAAACAACTCTTCGTCTTCAGCCTTAAGCGAGGGCACGAGCCTTTCCTAAAGCGATGCAAGATTACACCCGATCGAAGCCTCAGATCCATACAAAAGCTCATGACGAGGCCTTTTGTAAAGTTCCCAGCTGCTAAGTGGACAGACACTTCAAAGAGGATCAGCAGCAAAGGCAGCAGCAGCAAGGGCGTACCACTCTCTGCCACTCTTTAAGATGCCAGCTCCCTTCGGAGCATTTGCTCTCGTGTTCTTGGCTCTAGAAGTCACAAGCCAAGATTGAGGCTCTATGCTGGGATCTGCCGTTTTCAGTGTCTCCGTCCACTCCTGAAAATCATGCACGACAAAATGACTGGCGGCACACAAAGTGGAGAAATATACTCCCAGCAACCCGAGCCGTACTAAATAGAGTGAGCAGCCACAGTATGAGGTGAGCAGCCGCAGTATGAGGTGAGCAGCCACAGTATGAAGTGAGCAGCCACAGTATGAGGTGAGTGAGCAGCCGCAGTATGAGGTGAGCAGCTGCAGGAGAAAGCTTCCAAGAGGAAATTTGATGAGAGTAGTACCTTGTCGAACTCTCCCAGCAGAAGCATGCAGATTTCCCCGGACTGAAACACAGACACAAACACACACAGAGAGCACGCAGACAGACATATACAGTACACTCTTGGCCTTGAACTCTAAAGCCGCACGTATCCTGCAGAACTTGAGCCTAAAGTAGCGCCCTCCCCCCCTCCCCCCCGGAAAAAAAAAATTGGCAAACACTGCAGCTGTGCCTGCAGCCTCTAGGACGTAGTAGACGCTGCGGAAGCTCTCACCGGCGTCTCTGGCGGCACTTTGAATCGCAGAAATTCGAGGCCATCCCTTTCCGCAGCACTGAAGTCGTTGTAGATCTCATTTTGATCCTTCTTCCATGCCTGATAAAGCGGCTCGACCTTCTGACCAGTACTCCGCTGCCAAGGGGCAGCAGAGCGGCAACTGCGCTGCAAAATGAGTTCATCGTTCAAGACATCTGCTGAGTGCCATGCACTCGTCAGCTCATACACTGCACACAAGCGCATGCATGCAATAGAATGGAGAGTGCACGAGCACAACTTGCACTTTCGCGAAAGCCCGCCTCCCCTCAGCCCCTTCAGACGCTTTACTACCATCTTCCCCCCACCCACCCCCTAGACCCCACGAAAAAAAACATGTTACCCTCGTGATCATCCTCGCCGAACTCCGAAGAGATGCCAGCGGGCAGGGGACGCTCTTCTTTTCGCACGAAGTCGCTGCACCTCCCTCTTTTTGCCTGCAAAGCAACACACCGCAACCCCCAAACTGCACCGTAACGCAAACACACAAGCGAAGAAATAAACAGACGGCGATGGAAGTGGTGCTCGACCCCCGCCATCTGCTGCTTCCCAGCTCCTACGCCCTCACAGCCTGGAGGCGCAGAGCCTCTCATTCGTCACAAATGACTCCCTGCCTCTCCATGCAGCGCACAAATCCCCTGGGATCCAACAACAGAAAACCCCGTGTACCCCGAGAGCGAGCAAAGTTCGACTCTCGCCATCCCCTTCGCACGGAGAGACACGAAGTGCTGTCAGTTTGAGACGCAGAAAAAGCCACACACAGCTACACGGCAGGCCAGACGACAGATCCGAGACTAACAGAAACAGCTACGAGACACAGCCGCGCTGACGGTGCTCACCACAATGCGCAAAGAATCCAAGGTCTGACATCCCACAGGCCAAATCGCAAAGTTTGCGATGCATCCTGAACCGCAGACTCCAGAAAAAGCAACCAGAATAAGCCTTCCAGAAGGCTGCTGTTGCTGCTGCTGCTGTTGCTGTTGCTCTTGCACTGCGTGTTGCGTCGCCAACATAAAACCCTGCAAAAAATAGCCAGCTGCCCCTCCCTCCTTCCTCCCCCCGCTTTCCCCCTCTCGAGCCTTTGATATACCCGGAGCCTGGTATCCCGCTGGAGCAGCGAGCAGCAAAATATCCGGCTGCACTTTTTCTGCAAGTTTGAATGCGATGCGAACGTTCCGCGCGACAAGGCCGTCGGTCAATGTGGGGCGCCTGGCGAGAGATAGCGGGAATTTGCCTGCATGCCAAGCGGGAGCGTGCAAGGAAAGAAAATATACTCAGCTAGCGATTTTTGATCAGAAGAGGCCGTCAGAGATTCTGAACCGGCAATTTTACGGGCTTTCGGAGCTGCCCCCCTTCCTCTCCCCCTCTCCGGGAGAAAAGAGAGCACCAAAAAGAAAAGCAGCCAAGGAATAGGGGGGTTTCTGTGGAAGTGACTGCTCCGTATGCGGCTGCAGCAGCCTGCAGCTCAAAGCACTCGACGAACCGTATTCGGTCGGCTTCGGGTTCTTGTCATCGTGTGTTTCCACGAGATACATCGCGCATCGAACGCCTTCCCTCTCATGAGGTATCACCTGATTCCTAGAACGCTCTGGAGCTCCCTGCGGGGTGCCCCAACCCCGCAACGAAGGCCACCAGGATGCGCTTGCTGTGAGCTGATTAAAATCCTGGAACGGTTCACTTTCGAAGTCGTAAGCATCCGTGGAGTGCGCATCCCGTGGATGGCGTGTCTGGGAACCCCTCTTACGGATCAGGCACGCACTTATCGGATTCGGATACGACTGAAAGGCGGCGGAATATGCCCAATCCTCGAGCCCCCCGTTCACAGGGTAGACGAGATCGGCGATTGGACCCTCCGGGTAATAAGGATGTGGGGGAGGCTTGAACGTCTTTTCTGCGCTATCGTCGTTCAAAAGCACGTTCAGCAAGCTGCCGCTGTGTTCTCGCTTCAGCCGCTGCAGCAGCTCCTCCCTCTGCTTGCGCTGCAAGGCTACGAAGTGCTCGGAGAGGTAGGGTGACATGTATTCAGTTGCACTGGGGCCTCCCGCCTCCTGCGCAGCAGCAGTCATCAAGAAAGAAGAAAAGAGAGACGATACTGGCTAACGCAACGAGGTACACACACACACGCACCCGTCTCCTCTTGTCCCTTGCACAGGTGAGTAAAAGGCACACCGCGAACAGCGCTACGCGCGCGGGGGAATAGTGGTAGTGAGAAAGGGGAAGGGAAAAAGGCAGAGAAGACGGGCAAAAGTCAAAACACCCGAGCAGCCTCTCGAAGAGCCTGCATTTTTAAAAGGTCTGCGCAACCCCCAGACGTCTCAAGGGCCCCCCGAAAGGTCCCAACTCCCTCGCTTGCCTGCAACCACTTGCCAAGCGCTGCAAAAGCTACATCGTCTGGCGCTCGCCTGCTCTGGAACGCGCCCCGTCCAATCTGAAATACAAAGCCAAGCAACACAGACACACACAGAAACACAGCAGGCATCCACAAAAGTCTGCCCACACCGCGAGGGCAGCCAAAAAAGGCGCATGCAAAGTCTCCCTCAACCCCACGGGCGAAGATCTTAACAACTGCGCATGCTTGCACACCGGATCTGCATGGTCGTAAGAACCCCAAGGCCTGGCAATCGCCCGCATCCCCCCATGCCAGGTGATTCCTCCAACGAAGAGGTAGCGCTCAAAAGCCCCCCCAACCAACCTGCGCAGCGCAGCAAGGACAGCTCGGCATGCAGAAACGGAGCCGCCCCTGAGTAGCAGTGCAGCCACTGTATAAATATGAATATTGCCAACGGACAACACGAGCAAAACACACACTGTGATACAACGCCAGAAACACCACATCCCTGAGGAGCAAGAGGCTACACTCCGATGATGCCCGAACACAGACCCCCCAAAATAGCCAGCCTTGCAATCCGACTGATTTCTGAGCTGGGGCCTCTAGTGTTTAGGATTTGGGTGAAGGATCTGCACAAAACAGCCTTGTAGCACCCGCATATGCAGACAGACAAATAAACACACCTGGAAGTGATGGAAGCAAAGCAGCTGGGATTGAGATATGGGAAGTCCCTGTTGGGATCGATTCCCCGTTCGCTTCGCGAGTGTCTCATGAACCCCCAGGGGTTAAAAAAAGGGAAAATCACCAGCAGGCGGTTAGTCAGCAGATAGAACACCTGCATGCACACCAGTTGAATCCAGGGTCCCTTTGCACGACTGTGGACGATCGAGCCGTTTTCTGTACCGGCCCTAGCACGTCCACTCGTTTCCCACTTGCACCCGAACGACGCCTTAAGGCCCTAAAACACTTGCTAGACTAAGGGCATGCACTCGAGCGAAGCACACTGTCGGGCATAGGGTCTAGGACGAACTTCTGCATGCACATCGAACTGAGAGGCAAGAAGCGCAGCCAAGTACACCGAAACCGTCGGTCCGACAACTTCGTCTCCATGCACCAACCCACTGCGCAAAAAAGCACACACACACACACACACAACAGGCCTGCATAGACTTCCACACCACAGGAACTGTATTGCGCTCTGCTTCGCGACTCTGATCTGCAACCCCTCGACCTCCCAGGGGGAACCCCTCAGCCTTGAACTGACACCGGAAAAACACCCTGGCGTGCCAACCCGAACCAGTACATCCTGAAGGATTTTCGCAAAGCATAGAGCCCCACGCTCCAACCTTCGAAGTGTTTCTAATCAAATCTTCACCTGTAAAAGAGGGTCGGCGTGCTTCGATTTACGGCGCTGCGGAGGCCCAGCTCGATAAAAGGCACTTGGCAGGTGGCTCGTCCACACATCAGCCTGCGAAAAACATAGCCACAAGGCTGTTCTCCCACAGGTACAGCCGAGGGAAAAGCGCGTAGAGGATTCTCCCTTCCCAACCGCTGCTGCTGCTTCTGCTGGGGGCACCAAACAGCGGCAACAACGGCAGCAGTAGCACCAAGAAGGCGCTCTACTACCCTGGGAAGCCAGAGGAGCGACGACAGAATAAAAAAAGAGAGCAGCAAAGCCGCACGGAGCTGCAGCATACATGGAGACAGCTGAATACGAGTCGCATCCACTGCAGCACGGGTAGATAGAGGAAGAAGAGCATGGCGGCAAAACCTACCCTGTGACTTCGTCCTCGAGGCCAAAGGCCTCCACTGCATCTCTGACTCGCACAAGGTGGGGGTACCGCTGCTGCAGCATGGGAAGCAATGAGCGAATTGCTCCGTATGTCAGGGGTAGCGGCTGCTTGCCTTGCAGGAGTCTATCTAACACTGCACTTGCCACTGCATGTGTTGCTTTCGAGGTCGTTCCCACGGCCCCTGAGGGAGAAGGGGATGCTCCTGATGCAGCATCTCCAGAGGTAGCCACGACTCGGCCATTTGATGATGCTGAAGCTGCCTTAGGTTGTGCTTTCGGGATAGGAGCAACCGCAGCTCGGGGGGCCCCTTCTTCCGCCTCATGAACAGCCTGCGCTGCAGCCGACTTTTCTGCCGCTTCCGAGGCAGCAGCGGCACTTGGCGCCGGCTGCGCATCTGACGGCGGAATCAAAAGCGTCGATGGGGCCGCGCCAGTCGGCGGCAGGAGGAGCAGCAGAGGCAGCAGCAGCTGCAGCGGGAAGGGGTGCGCAACCATGCCTACGGGAGGTGACCTGCCCGCAGCACCGCATGTGGAAGTCCTCTCCGCCGCTCTTCTTTGTTGGAACACCAAAAGGCTGCAAACGAAGGGTTCATTAAGGCAGATTGGCACCGGGGTCTGCTGCGGGCACCACCATTGCTGCTCCTCCAGACTGCGGGGGGGAAGGGCCCACAGCGACGGTCAGGCAAAAAGATCGCCGGAACCAATGGAAAGCTGACAACAATGCAACAATGGAATAATTCTCTCAAAAAGCTGCAGAGAATGCGGCTATTCATGCACCTGGGAGAGTGCCCTTGAGCAGGAAACAACGCAACGCCACGAGCCCTGCTGCTGCTATTGACCTGTTTAGGGGTATATAGAGCGGCTCAGTTTCTGGAGGTGAAAGTTTAGCGCTTCCTGATTAATGATCGCCGCATTCTGGAGTATGTGTAGAATTTCAATTCGAAATACTGGCAGGCCTCTGCGAATACCGGTGGCGATGGCTTCCTGGTAGCAACCGCTGCGTCAAAGGCAGCAGCGACTTGCATTAAACTTTTCATTGAATCCTGAGGAAAAAGTATCGCAATTACTGCGAAGGATGCTCTGTATGACAACAGCACTTCGCTCTCACTTGCACATTGCTTCCGAACACTCTTCCCACACCTTGCACTACACCAAGCTTCTCCTATGAAGCTCGTTTGAGGCACACACATATCTCAGCAACTCCTAAGCTCCCACACCAACCAATCACATCCTTCTTACCTCAAAGCTCTTTAGTCCTGCTTCCTTCCTTCCCACACCTTGCGCTACACTGAGCTTCTGCTACAAAGCTCGTTCGCGACAAACACACATCTCAACAACTCCTAAACTCCCACACCGACTAACCACATTCGTCTTCCCGAAAAGCTCTCTAGTCCTGCTTCCTTCCTTCCCACACCTTGCGCTATACTGAGCTTCTGCTATGAAGCTCGTTCGCGACACACACTCATCTCAACAACTCCTAAACTGCCACACCAACTAACCACATCCTTCTTTCCTCACACTTCTGCATTTTCCTTCCCACACCTTGCGCTACACTGAGCTTCTGCTATGAAGCTCATTCTAGACACATGTCTCAACAAGTCCTAAACTCCAACAGCAACTAGCCGCATCCTTCTGTCCTCACACTTCTGCATTTTCCTTCCCACACCTTGCGCTACACTGAGCTTCTGCCATGAAGCTCGTTCGAAACACACACATGTCTCAACAAGTCCTAAAGTGCCACACCAACTAGGCACATCCTTCTTTCTCAAAGTTCTCTAGTCCTGCCTCCTTCCTTCCCACACCTTGCGCTACACTGAGCTTCTGCTATGATGCTCGTTCGAGACACGCATATATCTCAACAACTCCTAAACTGCCACAGCAACTAACCACAGCCTTCTTTCCTCATACTTCTGCATTTTCCTTCCCACAGCTTCCGCTACACCAAGCTTCTACTATGATGCTCGTAGCGACACACATACCTCAACAGCTGCTCTTAATATGCAGATCGGAGTAACCGCCTTATAAATCTGGAGTAGGTATTCATCTAGGGCCAAAGTTCATAATGCTCCATATATCGGTGTGTTGGTAGATCCCTGTGCTTAAGGTCTGTCATTCCCTCAGATCGTGCTATGAGTGGCTCTTGGTATAACCCATGTTGGGTCGTGTGTGACGGCCCTCACACTTTTCTGATTTGCATTAGATGATCGACGGACCCATACACATTTGGCGAATAATGTCTTTGCAACAGCTGTGGTGGTTACCTGCGCTTCATATGCCCGCTACATTCTTTCCCCACACATGCCTACATGCATATGATTTCCCAAAGACCAGCACAGCCATCTACAGCGGTAGGGATGAAGTCGAGAGGATAGGCGCTTTGTATCTGAAAGCACTTGCAAGAAGCAAGATATGGAAACAGCCTGATCAAGTAGGCAATGGTTTCCTAAGTCACTGTTCTCAGATACACACTCTCCTGCTCCTTTCCTGTTCGTCAAGATAACCGTGAGCAACTAGGCAAAAGAGCTTTTGGCACTTTCATTGCTCCCAAGCACTGTATAGGGTTGAGATATACATAACACGCTTTCCACTACTAGTCTATGTGAGTAGGATTGAGCGGAAATGGCTTAAAAATTTGTTCGCTCTTACTTCTTATGTATTGCATGATAGCGTCAGCTCAATATACCGAGACCCATTTTGTCTCGTGGCGCATTAGATGCTATGTACAACTAGCTGTGAATGCATGGAGTGCCTAGAGGGTGCAGCTACGCACGGCAGAGCTGCCTTCCTATTCTCATGTGGAAACTCTGAGTAAAGTGGACAGGAAAGAGAGTTCTCATAGAAAACACTCCATAAGCGTGTATGAAGTTCGCGGTAAGTCGAGCTCAGTGTCTCCCTACGGAGGCTATAGATGGACTGTACAACTTTGCGAGGTTCACTACCAGATCTACTTTACAACACCTTGAATAGACGAACACAGGGCCCTTTCTAACAAACATCAAATAGCATAACGGGTGGAGTATACAGTGGCTACGTATACCTCTGATTGATATACGTGAATAGTGCGAAGAGCGAATATAGAACACCAATCCGCATCCCACCTGGTTTGGCGTGACTTGGCTACCATTGTCAAAAAGCATTGAGTTCCGACCCTTGGGATACAAGGGAAGTACAAACGGGGAATGAACAGGTCGTAGACTTGCTCAGCCTGGATCGCACATATTATTTAGCCACTGAAGTACCACGTTTCCACACCCATCTGACAAGGAAGATGCCGGAAAATCACAGAACGTGCTAGCGTATTGAATTGCTTAGCCGCAGTGTGTGCTCTCTGAAACGATCAAAACTTCTAACTACTGCTGGCTCAAAAACTCTCACGATTTGTTTAAAAGAAACAACTAGAAAGCAGGTAGCAACAAACTGCAACAACCAAAACAGCTTGCTGTCACTCCGCTGGTCCTCGACCTGTCACGCCGGTCTGGCTCCAACTGTGCACTGACCTCCTCCCGCTCATGCAGCTCTCTCTTCCTCAAATGTTTTTATCTAACACCGCCACATGTTATTCTGCAAAATATATAGTTTTACGTGGCACAGCAAGGACAACATTGACTTCTCTTATCGTTTTGTTTTGCACGAAGATGAGGACTCGTTGCGGACTGAAGTCAACGTTCCTCGCGGTTGCAGCTCTCCTTTGTGCAGAAGCGCCGTCCTGCCTTGCTGTGCGCCTCGGATTGGCGCCGACCCACCACGAAAGTCAGTCCCTTGTGGCTCCTTTTGGCTCTGATGCGGAAGGCGAAGCAGAGATTTCTGGGCATGAGGATGAGGTCGAGATGGATATTGGAGAGCAAGCGGATAGCAGTGCTTTTTTCGGGGATGGTGAAAGTTTTGTTGAGGCTCAAGTAGGGGTGGAGAAGGGACCTATCCCTGCAAAGGCACGAAAAGTTCTGGGTATTGATGAGAATGGCAATGACTCAGGTACTGGAGGAAGCGGTGGCAAGGGCAAGACAGGCCGTGCCAACAACAAGAAAGGCGGTGGCAAGGGAGGCAATGGAGGCGGAGACCATCTAACTCCGGAACAGAAAAAGAGGCTGCAAATGTTAAAGGGACTGACGGACTAAAACAATAGAAGACGTAGCAGCAAGCAGAATGAGCGCTAAAGGCTACGGAATCACTATTAGCCAAGAGCAGCCTGGTCCTTAAGTACGCTTGGAGTGAGGCCAGATTTGATGCCTTGACTGGTTTTGGGCAACAGAAATTCCAGTGTGCGCCTGTATATTTGTTCATGCATTGCTCAATATTCTGCGAGATTGTGTTTTACTTTTGTGCATAAAGATTTGTGGAGTCCCAAGAAGTGGCTGATTATCCACCTGAAACACTTTTAGAACACCGAAGAGCAGTTTCGAGCATCGGAACGCAAACTCGTTCGTTCTGTTCAAGCTACAAAGGAGAGTCTACATGCCTTGGTGAAGCAGAGCCATCTGAAGTAGCCAAGTGGCTCTTGTTTTGAGGTACTGCAACAGAGTTGCTCGGTGGTGTAAGCCCTACGCTGCACCTTTGTCGCATGGACAGTGATGAGGGTTGCATCTTCTGCTTTTTTCGGGCAGAGAATTGCCGAGGCAAAGGATCTGCTACTTGAGACACCCTGCCACGCCTTCAGGGACTGCTCCAGCTTCGTCAGAGCCAATAAACAACTCGTCGAAAGGCGCATCGGGGGTCACTGACGTCGATGCGCTTGCCTTGCTGGATTCGCCGGGGTCGATCGATTTCGCGCATTCTGCTTATTCGGAAGTTCAGTTGAGATACATTGCTTGGGAAAAGCTTGTAATGAGCTCTTTGGTAAAAATAAAAGCCTTCCGGGGGTCACGATATATTGTTTAGCTGGTCTGTGAGACGTGAGTGAACCCGCAGTATTTGGGCATTTGCCCAACTTCGAGCAACCATCAGTTTTGTCTAAAACTTTTATTGATATCTCTTGCTTAAATTCCTTGCTCGTGACCATCGTGCGATTTGAAACGAGTACAGCGATTTTCGAGTGGCACATCAAGAGTACCTGGCGTGCTGCACAGCAATTTTACTCGTGTATGCCAGAACAACGGATTTGTGTAGACATCGATTCACCGCATATCAAATCGCTCAGATTCCGCGCCGTTGTGGCCATGGGTTTCGCGTGCAGGGTGTGATGTGATAGGCTTTCCCTCTATTGCTCACCATTAATTATTTTAAAAAAAACCTTTTGTGCAGAGTGGATAAGGGGCTCTACAGGACTGTACAGAATATGTTCTGCTATGTTTGTCGAGCTCGTAAAATCAGTGAAACTGCCTTATATGTAAGCACCCTGCATTGTACCATGCAACGGACATCTACGAGACTCGCGAAAGCTGAGCTAGGCTAGCTGCCTGCACAAGCAGTGACAATACAACTACTATCAGCAAGCGCCAAGGCATGAAAATCAGTTTGGGTGTCGTAAGCCTTCAATCCCAGAGAAGCAGAAGCCTTCAGCTTTGCTCAGGGGCTTTACGATGTCGATGGGGAGTCAGAAGAGCGGCTGCTTCTTAAACTATTGCCGAAATATCGCAGCATACCTTTAAGGCAAGATATTTTTGCTGATAACTGGAGGGGGCTCTCTTAAGGACGGCAAAGGGAGGTACCCTTCGGCGGGAAGTTGCTACTATTCAAGTGCTTGCAGGACTATTGTCACCTCCAATTACATCCTCCTGCTAGTTTTCAAGCCCACATGTAAGCTGTGGCACAAGTCATTTCGCACGCCGCAGAGCAGCTCATGTCCTACGGTTGGTGCTGTGCTCACCTTGGGACGCACAATACACTCTTGGCACAAACTGCACATTGCAAAGGTGGCCAGCTGCAGCGAGTTAGTTCATTATCCGACTATGAGGTGGAAAGGTATGCGCTTGTTGCATTTGATTGAGCAAATAAATCTGTGGCGGTCACTTTGTCTACGGCATTTCATGCCACGCAAAGATCCAGGGCCAGCAGAGACTATTCCGATAACGGAAGGTGGCTAATTCATTTATCTCAATCGTGGCGCATTTGCACGCATCATACTCATACTCACACGTGGTAGAAGCTTACCATTCCCATTCAACGCTCATATTGGTTTTTCCTAAAGAAGCTGTAGCATGTTAAGCTATCGCTTCACCAGCACTGCGGCAAATTGCATGTGCTCTAAATAGGC